TAGATTTGCAGGTCATTTCTGGTACACTGTAAACGCTTGACCACTTGATAGTCGCCTCCTAAGAAATGCAATCAATATAGACAGAAACTGAAATACTCCCTTGACACATTTAGAAAAGGGTGACAGACAATGAGTGACAGAGCATCCTATGCATACTTACATATGAATATAACTAATCAGCATTTTCAATCCGTCCATGCACTATCGTTTGCTACTAATCGTTAGTTTGAATCAAAAGTCTACAATACTGGTTCTGATACCTATTTTCCTCCTATTGGCTCAATTGTTTAAGATGCTTCATACCATATTTGTTGTAATACTACAAGGCAACCACTTGGGCTGATAAAAGATCTTGCATTCAGTCAGTCCGCTTCTAGAATAATTCAATGGTTTCCGGAGTCATGTTTCACAACTCGACTGACAAAGATGAAGAATATCATTGTGTGACGACAAAGATTTAACTCACATACAATTGGCTGCCTTTAAATCATCGTATACAGTGTTTGTGCTGGGTAGCCCCGGTTGAAATGTTCTTATCCGTGGATATTCAGCAGCTCCGTAATATGCCAACCGGAGCCGAGTTTCATAGGCCGCCTTTGCGTCGTGTTTGTAATTGGCTCTGTAAAATAACACAAAAAACGTGTACGTTGTATCCTGTCCAACTATATTGCGGTAATCAATGACAAAAAGGTGTTTGTCTCAGTCCAGTTGGTGAAGAATAGACTTATTGGTTCTTTTTCAGTTAAATACAGTTTAATCCCCCTTTTCTGTTTTGGACGATGCTTTATTCGGATATATGATTGTTTTTCCGTATGGCGATAAATTAATCAAAACTGATTGCATCAGGCACCGTCCAAGTTCTCTGTCCAATAAGTGAATTGAGTGTGAAAGTCATTTTAATTCGCTTCATTATCACGGTTTTTCAAACAGGACAAGCGAGAGTAAGCGCGCTATCTGCATAAGGCACCTGCCCTCCCTTAAAGTCGGCATTCCTTGATGGCAGTGAGGCTATTTCGAGCATTCTCTGTACATCCTAGTTTAGGCATCGCCCCAAGTCTCCAGTGAAGACAGTAGAGCTCAGGACAAAGTTGCCTAATGATCGGTAAAAAAAGCTATTCTGTACTGAAATGAAAACTCAGTTACCGTCTTAGCGATAGATTTTCCAGTGATTAAGAGTTATAAAATTTTGACACCGCAGAGCGACCGAATCGGCCCTCAAAAGTTTCGTCCTTTTTAAGTTAACCAGTCATGTCTAGGATGAATCACATCGTGAAGGGTGAAATGGAGAATGAGAGTGAACTGTCCATCCACTGTTCGTGTAAATTTTTCACTACATATATTAAATACACTGCGCACCAATGAATCTGACAATGATTCTTCCCTTATTCATTGGTGAAGCACTGTCTGTTCAGAACGCCTTTCTTCGTAGGAGCTTACCACTCTTTTGTCGATACCCGTCAGAGGTACAGCCTATGTTGTGGCTGCTTGTTTACCTAGACCGTATTTAGAAAACATGTGGCGGTTGCGTGTCCACGAAAAGCGAGCAATTTTGGGCGTTTGGGTACCGCTGTCTTCGAATCATCACACCAGTCATATGGCTTGATCAGGTTGAAACTTATGCGTTTGTTATCGAACCCTTTATTGTGACGAACCGGGGAATGAGTAAACCTCGTAGCCACGATAACCTGATGTTCTGTATTAGAAACCGGTAATCTATTCAGCCGAACTACGAAGCAGCTATTAAAGAGGATACGCGAACACCATCCTTGCTGATTGAGATACGGTGAAACCAGGACGGTGGAAAGCCCTATCACCCAACAAATACTGAAGACACGGTACTCAGTTGATGCTAATCAGGCTTCTCGTATCATTTATCACACACCATCATCTCTACCTAAACCCACTTTGGCTCATTCTTCTATGCCCAGCCGAGGCGATAGCTATCCAAACAGTGGATCCCTCCCTCCCACTACTCAATCAGAAGCAGTTCGTTCGGGCTTTAGCTTTTTCCCCTTTTATTTCCTTTTATTGAATACACAAAGACACCATTTTCAGGAAGGAGGAAGCGGCCAATCAAAAGGCTACCATGAAACACATAATGGGGAAAGTCAGTCAGTGGTGGTGGGATTCGAACACACGTCCTCCGGGATGATAAATTGGTGACGTTACCATTGAGTCACCACCACCTGATGAAGAAACCCAACAATATAACCCTGTGCGACGCACCCATGACCAAACCGAGATGAGGATCAGGTTAGCAATCTTAGCATACTTTATGTACTCAGTTTGATGCGATCGAAATCAGATCAATGACGAAAAATAACCCTATAGAATTATAATGGCCAGTTGATGAATTTATCGAAAAATATCCNCCTGCTTCGTTTACTGGACTGTGATTTAATGTGGCAATGGGCATTTTTCTTTTACTAAAGGGGGAATCACGTAAAGCATTCAAGCTGGTGACCAGAAATTTGTCTTGATGAAAGGTTCAAGTTAAGTCAATAGTAATTTTATGCACCCGGAGTTTCGAATCTCATACCTCAAAGGTCAGTGAGTGCCAATGGTTGGTTAACCATTAGCACCCACATGAAATAGCTAGAGTTCATGATGAAGCTTCATTGATTTGAAAGCAGGTGGTTGTGCGACACACCTTTAGGCTTATTCTACATATGCTATCCGTGGAAGCAAAATAGGATAAAAATGAGATCAAATGTAATCAGCCAACGGGCTGGCTACCTGATATATAGTGTCACTCTAAAGTTCCATCTCGCATTTTTATCAACGTATTATCATCTGAGCTCTTATTTTTTCGATAAACAGAAAAATAAACTAAGAAAAATCATAATCGGAGCACAAAACACCACGTTTTATCAAATGAAATAAACCGAATCGAACAATTAATTTAACTATTTTGGACACCAGGATCTCATGTACATGTTTTTGTTGTTGTTGTTCGTGACTCGTTCGTGGAAACCAATTTCACATTACGTTCATCGTAATGGTCTATCTATGGCTTGGCTTGATCAACAATCCCATAACTGTCATTTGAAACGTTTATTTTCACTCAGTCAAACAACAGTGCGTACAAAATTATCAACAAAAGTGATAGGTTTTCAGCTTCAACTGACTCGGTCAAACGCGTGCACACATTTAACACTATAGTTTTATTCAATAGGTACTTTTCAACAGCCTACAAATGGGCGCTAAAATGTAAATAACAATGGCCAATAAACATGCGCCTGGTTGAGTTTTCTCCATCCTCGTTGATGTCAATGAGAAAATCGACTGAAACTGTTTGCTTCGTGCACTTGAACAATACGGAAGGATGGAAAACGTGTCTAGTAATAAGAGCCATTTCTTGTAAACAGTAGCTTTGTTGTTATTCACTAAAATGTCACTGACGCACGACAGCAAACAGCGTCCAGTATCGGTGAACATAAACGACAGATGTTATTGGATGGTCCACTTTTTCTCCGAGCAAAGTTTTATTTTTAATGTTTGTTTGAAAAAAGATGACCAACTTTCAGGCTCAGGCGCCAATGAGCGGTGAAAAAAGAGCATATGGAAATTGAAATAACAAGATATTATAACCCCATTAAAACTGAAAGCCTGCCAGTGAAGTAAGACCCGTATTGAGTGTCAAATTTTGGCGGAAATGTTTAGTTACCAAACAAGCGTAAACCGAATCCAGTAAGCTACGTGATGACAAGAGTGAAAATACAAATTAAAATAATTTTGCCTTTTTGGTTCGGTCCTTTCAAAGATTTTTCGAGGGTTTGGGGAATCTATTTTTATCGATTCCAGTTCAAGAGTTCAAAACAATAAGCAAGACTGGGTGTAGTGATCGCACAATTTACACTTTTCACGACGTCAATGAAATCGAGCTCTACAATTGTATTTGTAAAAATTTGTCACTGAACTTTTACCAGGTATCCTCAATGCATTCCGCGTTCTAAACCCTTACGTTAAGGGCAGTATTAAATAAACCATATGTGATCAATAAACCTTTAAAAATGAGCCACTGAATAAGTTAAATTAAATGCTACTTTAATCCCTGAGAGAACATTTGTCACCAACTAAGTCATCTTTTTTATTGACAGATATGTCACTTTTTCCACGGAGTTTCTTACACAAGGCTGATTAGAGACGATGTCATAGCAGATTATTACATATAAAGACGGCAAAATTACTGAGTACTAACCTCTTTGATAACCTGAGGTCTAAATGAATAAAGGTAGTCGTGGCAAAGAACAATTAACAGAGACTCCCTAAATGATGGTCATTTTGTAAAAACTATACCCAAAATTGTTTTACCGCCGTTTTCCGAATTCTGTAAAGCTTTCATTTTGGTCAATTGCGCACTAGTTCCTGTTTCATGCGGGATTTGTCACCTTTTAAAGGAAGAATCAATTTTCTGATTATTGTTTGTTATTAGACCACCTAAATCTTGAAAACGTTCAAGGTCGAATTTTTATAAATGACACCCGAAAGCTTAATCTCAACGTCATTGAAAATCTATTTCTTTTGACCAAAAAATAGAATATCTCACTTAATTTTACTTCGGATATCGAAGTCACAAACGTAGCCGTAAACTTTCATTAAAGCTTACACCACAAACTTCGTGGACCCCGCGCCTAAAAGGTTTAACAAAGTAATCGCATTATAAATCCATATGCAGTTTACCTTGTGCGCATTACGCAACATGTTATACAACGTATCACTGCAACAGTATCAAATGTTCGACCTCTAAATTTAGGACGCACTCTTGTACACTGCTAGCAAGAAAGTCACTCATGGACTACCTGCGAGAATAGCATCATGATGAGAACCGTGGGTTCCATTACCATGTATGTTCAACTTTGTGAGGTGAAATAATTCGCTAAAATCAAAACTTTTAACCAGTTTCAAATGCATATTTACGCATATATATACATATATATATATATGTGTGTATGTATTTTTTGTTTACAAGCTGCGTACGAACAGTGTATAAAGAAACGAAAACAATTGCAAACACACTGTAGGTGGAATCTGTTTCCAAGTGATCAGCGCTGTGCAGTTGTAGTACCGCTCAGTAGTTCCAGCCAGAGTAGCTGGCTTAATTGGGTGGTTTCCGCCCAAATCCACAAGGCGATGAGCAAGGGGGAAAGTGCCTTAAGTTTGCCATCTATTGAGGGCCAGGGTATTATCGGATAGGGGTTCACCATTCAGAGGCAGTGTATTGTTGTGCTAGCCCGATATAATAAATCATATGAAAATGACCCATCTGTACCCCAAATTGTGGAAGATTTTCTTTAGTTTGGTGCATGGAAATCATGCACATCTTTTATTCCCTGAGAACTGATTGAAAATATTTTGATAAATAACATTTTTTCCATTCCAAGTGACCTCGGCTGTCTTCACTGTTTGATAAGGTGAATTACGAGTACCTACCTCCCAAAAGCCTCATCCGCAAAAGCAATAACTCCACCTTCCATGTACCATATGATTGCAATAAATCGCGGCCCAGGTGAATGACACAATTCTTTAAAATTCATTTTGTTCAGACATGTGACTCTATGGTGCATTTTGTTTAAATCGATCGTTTGAATATATACTAAGATTACATTACGAGAATAA